AATTGCGCGAGCTACTGCTCTCTGAGCAGGCTCGAGTGTCAAGTTACAGACAACGTGCCGCAACGAGAAGCAACCGCAGCACGTCGGTGCGACCCTTACCCTGGGCAGCCGCCCCAGGGGTGGTTGCTTGACTTGTGGTTTATGGCATCTGTTTACATGGCTGTGGTTTGTTTGCTTTGCATTTGATACGCCAGGCAGGCCTGGGGTGAGTAATGGGCTCTTAATTAGGCCGATACACATTTTTTAAACCGATTTAACGCATGTATGTTCACGCGTGAGTATGGGTGTGCGTTATGAGAATTATACATACATGTCTATTGAACAGAGTTAATCTCGGAAATTTGTGGGTGGCAGAAAGAACCTATAAATGGCTACAAGTTCCTTTGAAATTGGCCTATCATGATGAAGCTTGGCACACGGACTCACAATCACTAACTGCACGTATTTGCGATATTATGCCAAAATGATGTGAAATTCGGGAGCAATGGAATATCACTAATTGTAGGGGAGAGGGGGAGGGAGGGAATTTTCAAAATGTCCCTAGGTCTTATAATCTCCGAGATGTAGGTGATTATACGAACGGAAAATCGGAAAATACCCCATGTGGGGAAGTACAGGACACTTGCACAGCGTACACACATAAGCCATCTTTGTGCAGCATTTGGTGTCTCCTGCTCTTATAGTCTCTGAGATCCAGGTGTTCATACAGACAGACAGACTGACAGACAGACAGGGCTAGATCGACTCGTCTCATCATGCTGATCAAGAATATATATATTTGTGGGGTCTGCTACGCCTCCTTCTGCTTGTTACATATTTCAGCTCCCACAAACCTAATACATATATACATTTCATGTACAGAGTATTAAAATCGTACATTTTTACAATTTTAATTTACAAATTTAAATTATATTTATATTTATTTACACGAGTATATACCAAAATTAGATAATGACAGTCACAGATGCAACTAAGTCTTTCAAGCTTGAATCCCCTTTCCACATTCAGATCTTCCAAATATTGATTAGTGGTATGACACTTTCGATTATACACTTTTTTCCAATGACTTAACTGTTGTGTCAACATATCCCAGGAAACATTACGAAATCATATCAGGTATGTAACAGGCAGAAGGAAGCATCTCCGACCCCATAAAGTATACATATATATTCATAGTCACCATGACGAGAGAAATCCATCTAGATACTTCATCAGATTTTCTTCATCTACTTTTTGCATCTGTTATTTAAGTTTGTCTGGGTTCAGGGTATTTCACTATATGGTAACAACGGCCATCCTTGAGGATGATAAACCTTGATACTATGCCTTTGATCTGTAAACTAGCCAGAAGTAAAGCGTGTAGAAAAAGTTGTTTGAGTAAAATTCGAAAAGGATTTTTTAAAACAAATGATGTCCTGGTTTTTCTCCTGATACAGAATGCAAACTCTAATCGATCAGATCAAACAATCGGCTAGTTGACAGTTTGTAACATATAGTTAAAATATCATTGGCTGTTCAAGCTAACAAATAAATAGACTTTGATCTCTCGATTCGACTTGAATCTCCGCAATTGTGTCAAAACGGCGCTAAATCGGGCGAATACGGTGGCTGTAGAACGATATTCGCCTTATTTTTGTGAATTGCTCTCGAAGAACGAGTGCAGTGGTGCGTTGCTTTTGGAACCAAGCGAGATCTAAATTTTACGAAGCATAAAAGTTCTCTTAAAATTATGATGATTGACCCATTAAAAATGCCACAGCATCAGATATGTCTGTAGTTGGGATCCAGCTCTATGATTTACTGAACGTGTTGAGGTTCAGTTGAGGTTTTCGGTCGTCTTGGATGTGGTTCGTCTTCAACGCTTAAATATTTAATGCCATTCATAAAGTTGTGTTGTGACACAGGCAGTTTATAGCAAAAATACTGATTATTTCGTGCGGGCAATTGGAAATGTGTAAAAAATAGCGTGAATCTACAGCAAGAATTTGAGCGCTAAGGGGTACAGACCATCGCGATTATGACATTAGAACGTGAATATGGAAGCCCTTCAGCAAATGTACAAATCGATGCAAGTTCCATGCCTCCCACTGTAACATTTAAGACTTCCTCTAGGTTATTTGAAAACAAAACGCCGTTGACAAACGACAATGCCCGGGGACTAGCTCGGAAGCGATTTCTACCCTGATGACCTTTAATAAGAACCTACACACATGCCGGGGCCAACTATGTATGTTCAGGAGAGGAGTGGGAGCTGAAAATGCGGTTGTTTTAATTAGAGTTGCATGGAACTATGTACGCCCGCGGCTGCAATGCCGTGTATGCAATTCTTATGCAAATGCGTTTAATTACAAAACTGTGAAAATGGAAAAACGCTGCACGATGGATTACGCAGCTTTGCGTTTTTTAGGGAATTATTTTTCAGAGACCGGCGGCTAGTTCGTGTGTTTAATTGCACGCCTCAACGCCTGTTTAATTGCCAAAGCCTGTCGAGTTCAACGCAGTTCCAATGACTTTAAATCTTTGCTGTGCAGTAGTGGCGGTGTCAGCAATGTCAGCCGAGGGGGAGCTCCAACTTCAATCTACAGTTTCACTATTAAGTAGCAGCTCAAATTGAATTTTTGTCGACTTTGTAGCGACAAAATCGATTTTGATTGATTCAATTTTAATGTGTGTGATAGCATTTTGCACACAAGGCAACATGTCGGAAAGCAATTTATAAGATTGGCGTGAAGGGATATACTCGTAGAAAATGTAGCAAACATATCCTACTTATGTTGACTAAAAACCCTCACAATCCACTTTTAGGATAGCAACTGCAACTGCTCAGCTTCCCCTTTTCCATGAACAAACTCTGCTTTCGCGGGTAGATTGCAAAAAGGCTAATGCCATGCCAGAGCTCTTCTTTCCGAACTTTAAATTCATAAATAATGCTGTTCTTTACAACTCGACCAATAATCATTATTTTCGAGCAAAAAAATAAAACTCATCAAATAATTGCTATTCTTTGAAAACAAAACTCATCAAATAATTATGTTTCTTTGAGTTTCATTGTTTGCTCAAAAATAAAATTCAAGTTGTAATTTTTAAACAATGACCCAAGACAAACTCCTATAGTCAAAATTCGACCTAAAGAAACATCCTTAAACATCCTTTTTTAGATATTTATTCAAGAAAGTTGTTCGAGAAAGTTGTTGTTGTTATGCAGCCAAAAACAGATGAACCTTTATATGAACCTAAATGAATGAAAATTTCTCGTTTTCTCAAAGTTTCTAATAAGTGAAAGATTAAAAAAAAAACAACAACAACGTGTGCTGTCCCTGATTGTAATTCATCAGCTAGAGCGCTGTAGCTGCTGATAAAATTGCAAATTGGTCCGGAAAATGGGAAAAATGGAATTCAAATATCATATGAGCTATGTTTAAACCATCATGAAGAATTAAGACAGAGATGTTTTATTAAACGATGACAAAAAGTTAGACAACTTCTCCATTCATACCAAAAACTTACAGCTGACTGGTAGAATAACGAAATCAATGCTGTTATACTTGAAAGATGCTTTATTGGCCCTTTACTAAGGGAGAATTCCATGTCCAATGCATACCCATCGATTTAAGAAACAGCAAGAACATTGGCAAGCTAGAAGCCTTGCCTAGCCCCCGCCTTCAATGCTACAATCAGAATGGAATGAAATATAAGAGTGTCCTCTCTGCCGACGCGACTAGGACTAATAGAAAATGTTTATAGATAAAAAGGCGACAAATTGAATTTGCAAAGGTCACACACGTCCCGCACAAAAGTGCGACACTTGATAGCAGGCATTGGCACTTCACGAGCATGTGTGTGTCAAGTGGCCAAGTAGCCAGGCGGATAAGAAGATGCCTGGTCGAAGCCGACCACCCCGCCTCCGCCTCCGCCCTCGTCCCCATACCCACCTACCATATACCACTTCAGCGCTGGATTGGAGGAATGCGAACTTGGGTTGAGTTCGAGCAAGTGCTGGGGACTGCAATTTGAATTTCCACTCACTTTTCCGGGCACATTATTTTTTGGGCAAATTCAATTTACAAAATGATTTTATTGTGCGTGAATAAGTGTGTGGATTGCGGAGCTTAAAGTAGCGAGTCGGACGCGACCCTTTTGCGCATAAAAGGCAAAGTCGGGGTAAACCACATTAGGGATTTTAATTAACTGGAAAATGGTTTTCACCCATTAAAATATCATGTTACAAGATCTACCCGAGCTAGCTGCCTTGCAATGCATAAAGAGTTGAAAGGTTTGTGTGGCTAAGAAGAATGTGAATTCAAATAATTCGGAATACATAAGTACAATTGGGTAGATCTGTACATATGTATGTATGTAGTATACACAGATATTAGCTGATTTATGGGGTGGTCGATTGGTTGGCCATTAAGCATATTGTTTTTCTATTAATTACACCAAAATGTCATAACAAATTGCGTCTTTGTGCCCGCTGCTGCACTCGAAGTGCGCATATGGCTTCTGAGTTGGAAACCCGCGAGGAAAACCGCAAACACATATCCCGCGGGAAATGCGCCGTTACACGCGATGGCAGAGAGTCTTTAGCCCCCGCCTAGATAATCACCATAATCGGACGCTGCTCTCAGACACTTTAAGCGATTTTCAATACGTGCGAGTCAGCAAGTCCGATGAGTCGAGGGAAAAGCGTCCCATCAGCGTCAGCCCCGTGTGTGACGCACAATGGAAAATTAAATGGAAAGCGCGTGTGCAAGGCGAGGGCGCCCTGACTAAAGGTAGCTCAACTACTTATGTGAATATTACGAGTGTGTACGTGTGTGTGTGTTGCCAGTAGCCCGCAACAATCCGCTTACAATGCAGACGGGAGTTCGCTGGGCGGTTCAGGGGTGCCCTGTCGCTGTAGCTAGCACGCATCCTGCGGGGTTTCTCCGTGTCCTTCGTGTTCGCAATTTTCTAGTGTTTGTCACAAATACGTTTTCAATGCAATTTATTTGCAGCTTTGTTTAACAACAATACAATGCAGTGGTCACCTGCATGGCGAATATTTTAGCTATCTCCCCAGTGGCTTCCACGATTTCCACAAAGAACTTGTAAAGACCCTTTTGTAGGTTTTCCGGATAGAGATTCTCCGTCACGGAAATGTTTCTTATGGAAAAATTACCCGTTCGTAAGGGGCACACAATTATGTGCGATAACTGCATACTTTTCCTGATCATGGAGCGTAACATTGAGTTGTCCTTATACTCGGTGAGGAAACCGCAGAAGTCCAAGCGCTTCAATTCGAAAAGGGTTACAAAGGATTTGCTATCTTCAGGTTTGGATCGCAGCTTAATATTCATGATCAAATAGTTACTTCCTAGTTCGCGGTTGAGTTGTACATGAATGTCAAAGTGGCTGCGATTGGGGTTTACTTCATGGCCCACCCTCATATAGTAAGGTTCGCCGTACATATTGACTCGCAATATCTTAATGTCGGCGAGCTGTAAAGAAAACGAATCGTTAGTGGATTTCGCGTTTAACGCCCAGCAACTAACCGTAGCCTTCCTTGATATTTCGCCATTCCACGAGCTCTGGCCATAATTTGGCTTTAAAGCCGTACAAATTAGCAATACTTGTACAAGTTTCATTGAGCTCTGATATATGCTGATTGAATGAGATATCTGGTCGCGGGCTGTTGACTCGGGGTATAAATAAATTGAATGAAATTACTGACAGATACATGTGTTTTGTTGTTATGGCCAGTGTGTTTCTGAAACACCCTACGAATAGTCCAAACATGTTTTGAAAACGTTTAAAGATGAAGAAATGAAACAATAATAAATATGCTGCTATAAGAACATCCATTCGTCTGCATGATCAGACACACAGTAAGGGTTATTTCTTCACAACTATAACACACAATTTATTTATTTACAATAAGTTCTGTTTCGTTGTTTCCCTTCTGATAATAGATGTAGAGTCTGATATTGGATAATGCTGGCTGGTATTTTGTGTACAGCATGTCTTCGTTTCCTCTTTATAACTAAACTGACAACTATTGGCAGATCAATTAAACAATCCAACATCGGAATGAGAAAGTATTCCCTTAATACTGGTATCTTAGTCGTTGATAATTGTTTTAAGACCAGAGGCAGTAAACCATGAATTTTGTTTGAATTTTCGGCGAGCTCGGTCTAGTCTCTTCATATACCAGACATTGCCTTTTGCATGACCCGTTCATCTAGTAAGGTAAAGGTAAACACTCTCTGGAATAATATTGCGTATCTGTGAAGTGCAAGAGAGCTGTGAGTGTGAGGCTTAAGCATTCTGTCGAGCAAGGTAGACGTGTGAAACTTGTAAATAAATCTCTCAACCTTTATGTGAAAGTCTGTTCATCTCTGTGAATGAGGGGCCCATATTTTGGAGACAGCTTTTCGGCACGGTCTGCGAAACTCGAGTTAGTTCAGAGTTTGTTAGAAGTCGCAGGTTTCTAGGCTAACACTATGACACAAAGTGTTTACATTAAAAATACAGATTTGTTTAAATATTTATTCCATAAAGTCACTTAATATTATAATTGCTAAGCAGTATTTATGGTCTAGTTTAGCTCCAATTAGAGCAATAGCTCGTTAGTGGCACCTAGTCGACGACTCAATTAGCCAAACTATCGGATATGTGCTCATTGAGAGCTCGTTTACTAGACGTCATCCAACAACGCCTTTGCAACGCCTTTCATATCATTGAGGCAGCCAATGCAAGGAAGGCGAAAGCGGAAGCTCGAAAGTGTTGAAAAGCCAATTAGCGAGCTTGCCAAATGGCAGGAAGGAAGCCATAGCCACAGAAACAGCCACAGCCAGAGGTACAGCCACTGTCGCAACCGCAGTCACAACCTCATTCAGCGACGGAAAGTTTGAAATTTATGAAAAACCGCACGCAGCGCAACACCTCCACAGAGCGAATCGGCTCAGGCCACTGCTGCGTGAGGTGACTTGTGGATGGGCCCGAAGCCCAATCCCCATCCCCCATCTCTGCTAGGCGTTGCGTAATTTTCTGCGTCATTTAATTAAGCCGATTCAAATGCGCCCCTCCCCTCCTATCATTCGATGGTTGGTTGCTTAACACATGGCTGGGCCCCAGCCTTGGCCCGAACTGCGCCTCACATAACTGGCAGCGTTTGTTTTTGTGCTTTGCTGTGCTGGCTTTGCAATTAGTTGATATGTGGAGCGCATTATTAATAATATTTGCCGTAATTATTTATTCATAAAGACTTATAGTGTTTGGGCCTAAATTAGATGTTAGCAGCTTACATGCGACGACTATGAACTATTAATTGGGGGCATGTGAAGAACGTTGATACAACGTTGGACACCGCCTAGTGATCCACTTATCCTAATCCAGTTAATCAATGGCGTGCGCCCAACTAGCGCTTCTTGACTCGCGTATCGGTAAGAAAACAGGCGACCACTGAACTGTTCATGGCATCGAGGACCGTCACCTCCAACGTGGTGGGCAGCTCCGGCTGTTGCTCGGCCACGGACAAGAGCAACTGATAGGTCACATCCTCGCCCGCATCGAGTGGACAGTAGGCGCCGTACAGCAGATTTTTGCACACATTGGCCCGAGACTCCTCCAGATCGTATGGTATGGTCATGCCCAACGAGGCCAGGCGCACCTTGGCCGTAAGCTGGCTTATTGCGTTGCGAGCTGAGGAAGGAGAATCCCCAAAATTAGTGAGCAGTCGCGATCCTATGGTAATAATTCGGCACACTTACTGGATACAAATTGAATGGCTATGCTCGACTCGCCGCCCTTCCACAAATCGCAGGGCAGCTCATTGCACTCATCCATTTGCACCATCAACGGCAGAGGGTAATTCTTTCCAGCACCTGTTAAATAGGTTTAATTACATTACTTCATTCGATATTCATTTAGCTGGTCTGCGCGGACTCACATTGTCGGATAGGCGTATTGCAGCTCCCCAAAGTCCAGTGCAGCGAGAGGATCAGGCAGACGAAGAGGTAAATACTTGTATTACTAGCACCCATATTTTATGTAGTCTATCTTGACTTAGCTCTTGCTAGGCTTTTTTAATTGTGTTTATACTTGTATTCGTCGACCACTATTTATACCGTTCATAATATCTGCACAAGTTCGAATGTACTTGCGTCTTAATCTAATCGAAGCGTTGAAATTTTGTTGACCTTTTTGCCATAAACTAGCTTTAATTTATTGAGTTCCCATTGCCAATTATGGATATTTTATACATTGCGCAATTATGTTAGAAATATTATGGGAAATGTGATATCAGTTAACATACAGAAGGACTCTACTATGCACTTTTAAAAACTTAAAAAAGTAAGCTGGTTCCATTGAAGGGAATAAGTTTAAATAACAGATTTATCGCAATGAGCCCCAAGTTATAACACATATCACATTTTCACAACCAATCTTGTACTATACATATTTCGACTAATTTTACTTTTCGATTTTGTAATAATGTATTTATATATTCCATGTTCGGTCCAGTTACAATACATTATTAATTTTTTCGCAATACAGGCCTCTGCCATGAGAAGCTTTCATAAATCCTACAGTATCTAAGAGGAAACTTCCTTAGTCATGTGCACTCAGGTTGAACTCCGTATCTTGCTTGGGATATCAAATAACTTCACATTTGGACGGCAGCAATTCGATTTCGAAGCAAAAGATAATCGAAAATGGGTTTGTTTGTGACCAATTCAAAATCTGTGACTCACTCCATTACATACCCATGAGTAATGGCAGCCCTGCCCTATGCCTGTGGGCTCAGTGCAAACGCACTGCCCTGGCAGAAGCGATATGAGCACAACAAGTCTAAGCACCAGACCCACATTCTTATCAATATGCTCGCAGCTAACACCTGTTGAGATCACGCCGGTGCACGTATACCCGTACTTGACTTATCGCATGTGCCGAAAACAAAATTAGCAAGCGATTAGCAACGATTACGACCCCAGTCTCAACATGTCCACAGATAGTGCCCCAAGCCAGATTTCAATTGCATATTTTTAGGCGTGTCATCGCAGCGACCAACCCTGGGCGATGGCAGCTACGGGACAAGTCGCGGCACATTAACGGTAATTTATATGCATAGCCAATTTAAAAACAAGTTTTACACAATTTCTTACACTCACTTGACTTTGCAAGGGCCACCAGGAGCTACATAATCATCATCATCGACATCAACAACAACTGCAGGAAGTCAACACCATCGTCAAGGGGTGAAGACAGGACCTTCGCCGACGATGAGGTCGTGCTCGTCAGTCACTTGTACCTAAATTTCATCAATATTCTCATATTTTCATAATTTCAACTGTTTTATATGCAAATTAGCTGCGCAACCTGATTTTGTTCCCAAATTGATTTTAGAGCCAAATACTTTCATTAATAAAATGCGTAAACGATTGGCTGCTGCCCGTCGAATTGATGGTCCCCGGAAGCTGGAGTGGACGAGCCGAGCACTCAAACGCACTTGAACATTTTTAAACATTTTGCATTTCGATAATTAATTTGCGTTAATGAACATTTAATGCAGTTTCCATAAATGGAAATGCCTCCAAATAGAATGAGTAAATGATTTCGGGTGGCCCATTTTTTTTCCTTTTTACTCCACTTGGAAGCTTAGGGCTTCTACAAGAATATTTTTACCATCTAACTCTATATTTCTAGTCGTCTGTCTGTCTGTCTTGGCTGTATCCCTGTTTCTGGGTAATTCCTGGTTGCCCATTATTGTACTTATTGTAAAGTGGTTCAAGCAAATGTAAATGGTTTAAAAATGCATCCTGTTAACCTTCTCTCCCAATTATACTTAAAGGAATATTACGAATACGAAGGGTATGTTAAGGATATATTTGTTTATTTTACAAATAGCTGAAAGGGTCTCTCGCCGCATAAACGATCGATCTAGTCAAGTCCATTTATCCGTCCGCCTATTTTTCCGAATAACTATCCCTGGCCTGCATTTCGGATCGGGGCTTAACTCATTGAGTTGATTTGCTTATTTATTCCCCCTTCAAACGCTACATTACTTCATCAATAATGTCCACAATTTCCAGACCCACAAAATCTTTTCCAATTCAAATTTTTCTATGAAACCTCTGATGTAATGTTATGTCTCAACACATTATCTTTGTCAGGAAAAGTGCCTTTCAATGCGGTAGCTCTGAAACTGAGGGAGGAGTAATGTGTAAAACAGAGAGTCCGACCGATAGAGGGACAAAGGGACAGACGACCATCGTGATTGGGATTTGTCTGGCTTCAAAGTAAACCTTTGAAGTGTTCTGGTACTGTTTGAAATACTGAAAACCTGTTTTCTTAACTATTTCGAGAAAACTGTTTGCCAAGCAAGAATATAGTAAGCCGCTTCTGGTGTCAATATATTACCAGATGCAAAAATAACAAGTACTTGATCTATTTCTTCGCGATAAAAGGCGTAAGATGGAAATGGATTGAAAAATTACATGGTCGAATTCGACATAACTTATTATCTGTGTCCTTCAAAAAGAAGTGTTGGTACAATTTTTTATCTCCATAAATCTTAAACTGTGGGAGAAAACAAGAAAGGAATGCTAAAGTCGACCAAGCTCAACTCTTAAATACAGGGTATACCACACCACCAAAAAAAAAAAAATTATTAAAAAAATTTAATTAATTAATTAAATTAAATATAAAATATTCCATACATACATACATACATTTACATAAGAATCGTGTCTATTCGTGTTGGTGTACTTGTACATACTTGTATGTATTATGTGTTCATTGGGCCTGGTTATATGGCTATAACTTTCTTTCTAATCACCCTATCATAATTCAAACTTGGTATACGGATATATAATCACTAACTCGATGTGTCTACCAAATTTTTCCAAAAAATTTTCAAAATTCCAAGAATTACGGGAGTTATAGAAAATCTTGAATAGGGGGGGTGCATCGAGAAAAATGAACAGACTCGTCCTTTCTCGAGCTCAGGAGAATCTGTATACCAAGTTTGGTTATTCTAGCTCTTATACTTTCTGAGATCTTTGCGCTCATACAGACAGACGGACAGACGGACATATGGCTATATCGACTCGGCTTGTCATGCTGATCAAGAATATATATACTTTGTTGGGTCGGCCACGCCTCCTTCTGTGTGTTCCATGTGCAATCGCATAAAACTAATATACCCTTGTACCCTTTGGGTACAGGGTATAAATATGAATGGACGGCCATTGCGATTCGAATTCGTCACAATCATTTCTTCTGAGTGTTCAAAACTTGCACACCAACAAAAACATAACACCGTTGCAATTTTCACTGAAGGGTCTACATATTATGGTTATTGATACCCTTTACCCAAAGAGTAAAAGGGTATATTAGATTATTGCAAATGTTCGAAACACCTAGAAAATGAGTCGATATAGCCAAATGCGTCTGTCCGTCTAGATGAAAGCAATGATCTCAGAAAGTCCAAGAACTAGAATAACCAAATTTGGTATCTAGATTCTCCTAAGTCCGAGAAAGGACGAGTGTGTGCTTTTTTGTATGCACCCCTCACTTCCACGCTATTAGTGATTTTCCATAACTTTTAACTGGAGTTCGACAATTACATCCCGCTCAAATGTAAAGGATGTTATAGCCATAAATGTAATCTACGACCAAACTCTGACCGCAGTCCGCCCGTCTTTTAATCTTTATGTTTGTGGGAGCTGGTACAAGATATACGTATTTAATAGTTGAATCCACCCGACTCTGGTATTTCTTTCTTGCTTTTAGATAAAAAGTAATGCTTTTGTTTTGTAGACTATCAAAATGAAAATAAAAACTCAAACTCTCATAAGGATTCAGAATGCGAAGCACATTAAAGCAACTTTCTCAAGAATTGGTGGCACGAACTGGCCAGTGCCGAAGCATGTTATTTAATGGTACGCCAAATTATGGAGTCGTGCCACTCATATTATAAAAGAAACATTTTAATTATAAGCAAAAAGCAAAAATTAATATGCAAATAAAGGAGAGCTTAGCTGTGCTCTGTTTTAAGCAGAAAGCGCGCCGCCAAGAAATTTCTGTGCATATTAGAACGGAGAAAAGTGGCGTTGCCAGGACGAAGCCAATGTCGTGGTTGCCAATCAGAGCCAGGGCGTCGAGGACGATGACGAGCATGACGTTGGATGCCAACACGTCAACAAGGAAAATTGCTTGACAGCTCGACTCGTTGAAACGCATGTTTTCTTGATTTCGGGAAACATGAATTTTGCATTCGTATAATTGCAGCACGAGCGGCAAAAAATGTGGCGCCTGGGGCGACTGATGATGGGGAGCTTGGCAAATTAATTAGTGCAGGGCCCGCTCAAGAATTTAATCATTTTTGCATGACGGCATATGCAAATTGCGAACGCGTCGAAGAGCAATGTGCATTTGCGAGTGTATATGTAGTATGTGCTCGAATATCAAAGTGTGCTGCAAAGCGAGAAATTACGCACAGGTGAAAAGGGCAATGGAAAGCCGTAAAAAAAGCCGTCAAGGGCAGTTGGTCAACCGAGCAAGGAAACCAGTGCGACCCGAATATGGACACATTGTTAAAACGAAAACAGTCGAATGCACTTGAAAGGAAGTGCAGGCAAGTGTAAGCAACTAGTATAGTAGTGGCCGAGATAGTTCGGACCATCCCTGATATTCAATCGGCTTGGGGTTGGCCACAGTTTCCTAGCCAGGGCCGGTGTGCTGATGCCACTGGCAGAACGTCCTCTAATTAACTCGTCATTCAGCTCACCTGTTGACAGGGTGCCAGGGGTGCGGACAATTAGGCGTGACATTCGGAAATTCCTTTATTAATTGACAACACACGACTGCCCATTCAGTTCACTCAGCCGGCCGAATTGTCCTTGTAAATTTTAATGAAAAATTAACAACACGAAATCAAATTGTCGCCTAATTGAGACACAAAGCACAGCCGTTGGCAGACGTATTAAATTACGTGCAAACAACAAATAAATTGAAATCAAATTGACACGGAAACTGAGGT